TCCAGCAATTAGATATTTTCCTATATTTTTAAATTTTATACAAATTTCTATAAAACTTGTTTCTTCCCCTTTTACATTTAAATACCATTTTAATTTCTTTAATAAATCTTTTCCAGTATTGTTCTCTATTAGGTTTATTGGCTCGAAATTTAACTTAGAATTGAATAGAGGTATGATTGTTACCATTGTCTGTAATATTATTTTAAATGTTTTCAGATTTAAAAATACGCATATAATTACATACGCATATATATAATATACTACTAAAAAATACTATTTTTTAATTTGATGAAATTTCAACAAAATGTTTATCAAAAAAAAACAAATTTTACAAAGCAAAAAAACAAGTGTTTGAAAAATAGATTTTCAGATCTGCCCGGAAATCGGCTATAGATTTTTAATTTATAATGAAAGAAATTCATTCCGGAAATGTCGTGAAACATAAAAATCATGAAGGATCAGATCCAGTTCGAAAGTACTGTGTTAATAAATTCGTTTAATTTCCACAATGTTAATTGCCAAAATGTTAATCTTGCATAAAATCGAGAATTTAATTTTTGGATTAGATTTGTTAGAAAGTTGGTATTTTGTTGTTGAATAGGTCCCGCCTAAATGTTCTTCAATCTTCTCAGCTCTTCTATTTAAATCAGTAAAAGGAATATCAAAATTATTTAATTCAACATTAGCCACCATTTTTACGCATTCAGTTGACGTTTCAATAAACTAAAATCGCAAGAAAAAATTAAAATATTTAAAAATAAATTTTATCCTAATTTGACTTGTTTGAAAAACTCAGTAAATTCAAAAGTAAGCAAAAACTTACAGTTAAGACAATATCAAAAAGTTTTTGTAAGGTATTAGACCTTAAGCAGACACAGTTGTAATTGTTTCCATTCATTAAAATTTTAAATAAAATATCTGCATATTTTTCAGCATCTTTATTATCATCAAGATCAATCATAAGAGATTTACTAATAATCAAATGATTCAATACAAATTTAAAATAATCTTTAGTGTTGTAAAAGATATAGAGCCAAGACGTTTGAATATAAAATTGTTTAGGAGTTCGTCCAAATAATAATTGAATCAATTCTGGATTGAAGATAAAATCTTCAAAGTCCCCACATTTAAAAAAACATTTAAATAATTTATTTAAATAATAATAAATAATTCTCATGTCCTCTTTATTCTCGATAATGGTTGGTAGTTGTAGTATACTAAGACGGGATGTACCGTCGTAAACTAAAAGTTTTTTTAATTAAAAAACATTTAAACATTTCGGGCGGTCTAAACAAAAACCCCAAGCTTAACAGAAAAGGTAAGCTATTGATATGCCCGCACACTTTCGTTATTTTAACATTTGTGTGTAGTGGTTTTAGCGGATGCCTAATTTCCTTCGTTCGAACCAAACTAATCCACCTTTTCTTGAATATTTTCCAACTTTTAATAAACAAAACTTTACCTTTATTTAAGAAAATAGAAATTCCGTCCGAATTTTCATCAGGTAAATACAAAGGAATTGGGTTTTCTATTCCATTTCTTAACTAAAAAAAGGAAATTTTAACTATTGAATATTTTAATCACCTTTTCAAGCTGTTCATTCAATGGAAAGTCAAAATTTTCAGTTTCGAGTCTAATTAATTTATGAGAAAGTCCTTTACATCTATCAAAATAATCCTTAAAGAATTTTTAAAAATTTAAATTAACTAAAATACATTACAATATCTATTTTATAAAATTTCTCCCGAGCAAGTTCCCCTTCATATTTATTAATAAATTCACGAAAATATAAATTTGTTTGTTTGATTAAACATAATTCCTCATAATTGAGACATTTAAAAATATCAATTTGGACTTCAATTGGCAAGGAAAACATTTTTTGACAAAATTATTTAAGTACTAAAGATTAATCGGAAAAATAATTAAAAACCCATAATGTATTTAAATAAAACGTGATTTAAAATATTTAAAAATAAAGTGACTGGTTTTAACAGGTAAAAAAAAGATGAAGATAAATTTTATAAAACAAAAATAATTTAATCGAAAATCAAAGAAAAAATTTTTTTAAACACTTTGTTGTCAATAGAATCAAATAAATTTCTTTTTCGTCTTCTCACATTCCATTCTATATTTTCTTAATTTCAATGCAAAAAATCGTTCCATTCTTTCGTTGTTTGTTGCAAAATGCAAATCTCATTTTTGGATTGTGAATATTGGCAATTTGATAATTTGTACTAAATTGTTTTTTCTTTAGTTGCTTAATTTCAACATTTTCAGCTCTCTCATTTAATTTAAAATTTGGAATAGATACGACAAAAATAATAACAGGCACCATTTTTGAACAGTCCTCAGATGTTGTTAGTATATACTAAAATTTAAACCAATTTTTAACTCTGTATTTTTGGTAATACCAGGGCTGGCCCCCACTTTTTTCTGTTTCCCTGACCATTTTGAGCTTTCTTGCTTGACAAATAATTTATAAAATATCATTTGAAAGAGCTGTTCGAGCTGAGTAGAATGATACTCTATGATTGGCTAGATTTGGTGATGCTCATAACTATGTTGATTTAAGACAGATTTCGATGATTTTAGTGCCGTTCGACTCAGCTCGATAAGTATTTTGAATGTAAATAATTATTCATAGAAAATGGAAAAAATAGAACATAAACAAAAGGAGGGACTAGCCTTGGTATTGCCCTATTTTTAAACAAACAACCTACTTTCATAATTTGATCATAAAGATCTAACTTAATAAATTTTAAACAAATTTTTGGGAATTTATTGCCTTCATTTATTAAAATATTGAATAAAACATCTGTGCGTTGTTCTGTAAAGTCAATATCCAAATTGATGCAAAGAAATTCAGAAATTGATAAATAATTTAAAGAAAATTTCAAAACAATTTCGAATGTTGTGTTGTTAGCCGATAAAATTATTTCTTGAACGTTAAATTGAGGAGGAATTGTTTTGTCGTTATCAAATAATATATCAATCATTTCTGGATTAAATAAATTTCCCTCAAAACAAACACGCTCAAAAGCACAATTAAAAAGTTGTTCTAACCAGCAACGAATTTCAATCATTTCTTCAATATTTTTTGGAAAGTTTGGCAAATTTAAAAGATTCTTTTTGTCCAATAAATAGGAAATTTCTTCAATTCTAACAAAAACAGTTCTTTCAGACTTGGAACTATTTAAAGACAACGGAATTGATTTGTCTATAGCTGCTTGCCAATGAAAAATTGAAAGTAATTTAATTGAAAATTAATTTAACCTTCTCTTTAAGTTGATCAGTTAAAGTAAATTCAAAAGTCCCTGATTGAGGATCGAAGAATTTATCTGGTGACAATCGATTATCGTTAAGGCTAATTTTTATTAATGAAAGATGTCTAAATTTCTTTCGTGCCAATTCCCCCTCATATTTATTAATTAAATTAAGAAAGTAAAAATTGGTTAATTTAAGAGAAAATAATTCATTAAAATTAAGACATTTTAATACATCAAGCTGTACTTCTTGTGGTAAAGAATGCATTTTTAATTATCTAAAAAATATGAAAAAATTCCGTTAAAAGATGATTTTAAAATATATTTAGAATAAATTAAAGGCAAATATGTAAATGTTTGAGAAATAAATTTTTGCCTTTATAAGGTCACCTCGTCTTTTTTAGTTCACATTGCCTAATTACATAGAATTAGTGTTTTAGGAAAAAATTTCTTTTTAATAAATGTTAATTTTTAAAAAATATTGGGATTGGTAGATCTAAATCGACATATAAAGTTAAGGAGAGAACAAAGTAAATTTAAATTTTTTAGAGCAGATTATATTTGAATTCAACTTATTTATAATAAGGGGAAGAGAAAGGCCAGTAAGGAAATTAAAAAGGAAAATATTTACATATAAAAATTGAAGGGTAAATATAAATGAATAAAATAACTGCATTTATGTCATTAAAATAAAATTTAAGAAAATTTATCCAAAAATTTATTTAAATGAATACTATTAAATGCAACAAAAAATGGACAATCAAAAATGTGATGAGGGTGATTGAAAGTGTTAATTACGAAGATGGAAAATTGAATTTGACAAGTAATATCCAACACAAATTTTTTTTAAATCTTTTAGGTGATCGATTTTTCAATCCCGAATATACAGCGATAGAATGGGAATTGTGCTTTGAGATGAAATACTTTGGTAAGTAATCAATTAACACCTGGGCCAAGTTATGTACCCGGCTTACAAGGAACCATCGTTTACTGTGACTGCGAATTAGATATATTTTTCGGTACCATTCGATAGAGGACCCGACTTGATACTGTAGCGCTAATTAGTTTAGGACTAGTTATGGCCGTTCAAAGTTTCAGTCCTTAGGAGTTCTTCGAACGTACGTAGTTTTATAACCGAAAATTTTGGGTTAGGAAAAAATAACAATCCCTATTAAAATAAATATTTATCGATAGAAATCAAAACAATGTCGGAGTGTAAAAATCTTAATACTTAATAAAAAATTGATGTTAGGTACCTATTTTCCTTTCCTTCTTAAACTTATTTTCTTATAATTTAGTGGAACGTAGTCGGCTAGTTAATAGTCGAGGGTAAGTGACGCATTTATTCGCAAGACGGGCGCCGACTAGGTCTGATTATATTTGTCATTCTACCCAGCTCGATGAGTTCTTTTGAATTAGATATTATCTGACCTAGGCTGATCGTTGTCTAGCGAATAAATGAGCGACTACTTTAGCATTCCCCGGCATACGAACTATCGCTCTTATGCTATCTGGCTTCGCCAAATTGGACCTAATGGCACAAATAATCTCGTAAATACTCAATACCGAATTTATGCCACTCAAGACGATACGAATAAACAAATATCAAGGTCACTAATATTTTATTTAAAATCCTTTAAATAATTAAGCTCAACTTACGGTCTTGAGTTTCAAGAAAAACTGGGATATTCTCAAATTGATAAAGATTATATATGCAATTTAATTAGTTCTGATGGTATGTTGGATATTCACTTCTATAACATTATAAGTCTAATTTTAGGTAGCTTGTATCTACATTGTGATGTCGAAGTTGACTGTTATAATTCTACCGATAGCTTGAAAAATATTTATAATAATATGTTTGAAGGGGAAATATTTACAGATTGTGTTATTAAGGTGGAATTATTTAATAAAAAATATATATTGGTTTTTAAGATTGGTGAAGATTCTATAAAAACACATCGTTGTATTTTGGCAAGTAATAGTAAAGTATTTCAAAAAATGTTCGAGCATGATGGAATGATTGAGGCTCAAAATGTAAGCATAAAAATAATTAAACAAGCATGATAGAGGGCAGGGGGGGGGCGAATATTACTAAAATATCGTTCATATCAGTGTTTGGAAGCTCTTAACAAAATTCGTACCCGTACTTGTGTACAAAGGACGTGTAAGAGAAAATAAATCAGGACAAGTACAAGTAGGAGCAAATTCACTAAAACTTGCAATAAATGACAATGAAATTTAATAATAAATTTAGGGTGATTAATCTTCTTTAATCTAAAAAATTAAAGGAAAAAATTTATTTTATTTTAGGGTGAGATTATAATTTCTGATTTTGGTCCTGAATGTGTTGATGTAATGTTGAAGTTTTTCTATACAGGCAAAATTACAAAAAGTATTTTTATTTGAAAATATTTTATTAATTCGCTATAATTTTTAAAGGTGCTCTGGAAAATCATGTTGAAGATATTTTTGCTATAGCTCATAAATATCAAGTGGAATTGTTGAAATATGAATGCGAGATGTTTATGTCTAATTTAATTGGTAGGGATTAGAATTTTATATAAGAAGAAATGAGACCTAAATTATTAAAATAAACTAAAATTACAATTGTAAACTTGAATAGCGTACACCGCGATGTACCGCGAGCCAAATATACCGCCGAGGTATAACTTTGTTCAAAATTGTCGAATTCGAAACGCCTTCGATTCAGCTGGTCGAGATGCATCGAACCATACCAGGGCGCCACGATTCGACAATTTTGAACAAAGTTATACCTCGCGGTACATTGGACTCGCGGTACACTGGCCTGCTCCCCTTGAATACAAGGTTACAAAATTAAAATTTGGTATAAGCTAACATTGTAAAAATAAACTTAAAATGCAAAAAATAAACGTGAATTCTGAAAATCCTCATATATTTTCAGATGATGAAAAGTTTTTAAAATATTGTGATATTATTGATTTATACGAGGCTCCAACTTTGGAAAAGGTGGAAATCTTCCAAACAATTTATTAAATTATTATTTATTTAAAGGGTTGTAAAATTTATGTTCGTATCAACAAAGATTGTTTTTTAATTAGCGAGGTATGGAAGGAAGTTGAAAATAAATATCCATATTTGAGTATTCGATTTTTGAAATCTGTCATTTTTGATTCCAAAAAGTAACTGATTGTTGGACAATTTTTTTTAATTTTTTTCAAATTTTATACATAAATTAAAAAAATGATTAAAAAATAAATTTTTTGACCAATTTAAAATCTAATGAAGGAAGATTTTTCATGTGTTAATAAAAATTAATTAAATATCGTATATACTCTATTAATTACCCTGGGTAAATATTGTTTCGATCTCTCTCTGGAGAAAGTAATTACTAGAGGTTATTTTAGGAAGGCTAATTACATATAACTATTTTTAAAAAATTATTGTACAATCTTTCACTGGATTAATAGAGATATGCGGTATTAGTTGTTAGTTTTCAAATTGTTGGAAAAAAGATAGTAAAAATATATGTTTATCAAAAAGTCAAATTAAATGTGATATGCATTTGAAAATTAATATTCCGGATCCGCCCAGAAATAGATTTTTGAATTTTTAACTCATACTGGAAAAGATTTGGTTAGAACAATAAATTCAAGAAATGTTGGAAAAAATAAAAAGATCTGGGCGGATCCAGTCAAATTCAGAAAAGTAAATAATTAAATTATCAAAAAAAGATTTAACAATAAATTCGTTTAATTTCTATTATTGTGTATTCAGTAAAGTAACAACTTTTCATATATAAAATTGCGAATTTAATGTTTGAATTGAATTTGCTGGAGAGTTGGTGTTTTGTTGATAATAAATATCCTCTTTCACGTTCCTCTCCAATTTTTCCAGCTCTCTCACTTAAAATAGTGAAAGGAGTAGAATGATTCTTTAATTCAATCTTGGCCACCATTTTTGTAAAATCTTTTGAAGTTTCAATATGCTAAAATTGCAAGAAAATATAAAAAATAATTTAGTTCTTAAAAATATTCATTAAAAATCCCAAGTCAAAAGTTTTGGGATTGCTTTGGAAAATTTGAGCTTAGTTGTTAAAAAATTTAGTAACTAAAGGTATCTATTCTTTTCTGACTAATTTGAAATGTGTCTATATTTTCTTAATTTCAATGCAAAAAATCGTTCCATTCTTTCGTTGTTTGTTGCAAAATGCAAATCTCATTTGTGGATTGCGAATATTGGCAATTTGATAATTTGTACTAAATTGTTTTTTCTTTAGTTGCTTAATTTCAACATTTTCAGCTCTCTCATTTAATTTAAAATTTGGAATAGATACGACAAAAATAATAACAGGCACCATTTTTGAACAGTCCTCAGATGTTGTTAGTATATACTAAAATTTAAACCAATTTTTAACTCTGTATTTTTGGTAATACCAGGGCTGGCCCCCACTTTTTTCTGTTTCCCTGACCATTTTGAGCTTTCTTGCTTGACAAATAATTTATAAAATATCATTTGAAAGAGCTGTTCGAGCTGAGTAGAATGATACTCTATGATTGGCTAGATTTGGTGATGCTCATAACTATGTTGATTTAAGACAGATTTCGATGATTTTAGTGCCGTTCGACTCAGCTCGATAAGTATTTTGAATGTAAATAATTATTCATAGAAAATGGAAAAAATAGAACATAAACAAAAGGAGGGACTAGCCTTGGTATTGCCCTATTTTTAAACAAACAACCTACTTTCATAATTTGATCATAAAGATCTAACTTAATAAATTTTAAACAAATTTTTGGGAATTTATTGCCTTCATTTATTAAAATATTGAATAAAACATCTGTGCGTTGTTCTGTAAAGTCAATATCCAAATTGATGCAAAGAAATTCAGAAATTGATAAATAATTTAAAGAAAATTTCAAAACAATTTCGAATGTTGTGTTGTTAGCCGATAAAATTATTTCTTGAACGTTAAATTGAGGAGGAATTGTTTTGTCGTTATCAAATAATATTTTGATCATTTCCGGATTAAATACACTTTTATAAAAACAAGCACGTTCAAAAGCACATTTAAAAAGTTGTTCTAACCAGCAACGAATTTCAATCATTTCTTCAATATTTTTTGGAAAGTTTGGCAAATTTAAGAGATTTTTTCTGTCCACTAAATAGGAAATTTCTTCAATTCTAACAAAAACAGTTCTTTCAGACTTGGAACTATTTAAAGACAACGGAATTGATTTGTCTATAGCTGATTGCCACTGAAAAATAAATTTAATTTAATTAAAAATTAATCTAACCTTCTCTTTAAGTTGATCATTCAAAGTAAATTCAAATATCCCTGATTGAGAACCGAAGAATTTATCTGGTGACAATCGGTTGTCGTTAAGGCTAATTTTTATTAGTGAGAGGTGTATAAATTTCTTTCTTGCCAATTTTCTCTCATATTTATTAATTAAATTGAAAAAGTAAAAATTTGTTAATTTAAAAGAAGTTAATTGATCAAAATTAAGACATTTCAATACATCAAGTTTTGCTTCAGTTGGAAGAGAATACATTTTTAATTATCTAAAAATATAGGAAAAATCTTGAGATAAATAAAAAGAGAAAACAAAATCAAAATTGTATTGCTAATGATCACAAGTCTGATTAGGATGTAAATTATCTACTCAAAAAACGGCGGTAAAAGATGCCATTATTCTATGAAATTTTGTTGAATAAGTGAAAAATAAAAACGAAAAATGCCAAAACTAGTCGTAAAAAATGATCTAATTTTTAGAAAAAGTCATCTAAAATAACTGAATGGGAAACAAATGTTGGGAAAAGGAATTTTTGCCATTATTTGTTTAATTCTCTTTTATTCATTCTCATTGCCTAATTACACAGAATGGGCGTTGTTTTAAAAACGTTGTGAGAATGCCTCACAAAGGCAATAATTTTTTTATATTAAATGTTAATTTTCAAATGATAGAGGGGAGAATTTGAAAAATTGAGGGAAAAAAAATTTTAAACTAACAAAACTTTCGTTAATTCCCACAACTTTTTAATGTAAAATATTTAAATATCCTCTTTACTTTTTATAACGGCATTCTGGATTTATTATCAAAGAAAATCGAATAATTTTTTATAGAATATTTTTCATATTTTCAAAGGTTTTTCCGTGAGGAAATAGGGAGAATTAACGGAAAGACAAAATAAAGACTTTTCTACGGCACTTCTTTTTTAAAAAATCATTTTCGTTTTGCCTTGATAAATATTTTAGACAAATTATTTAACTAAATTATACCTATTTAAATCGGAAAATTTTGTGATAGTTCCATAAATTTCTTTCGTTTTATAAACAGAAAATATGTTACATGTTTATGTTTATTTTACATATTACATGCTCAATTTTCATAATTTAAATTTAAATTTAATAAAAATTTTAATAAAAAATTTGGCTGTATATGAAAGGAATGCGGCACTCAATTTTTTTCCCTTATTCTTAAAAATGGTTAATTTTCTTTTATTTTTCTCTCTATTTTTGATTTTTGCCTACGACTACAAATGCAAAAGGATTAATTTTCTTTTATTTTTTTATTTCGTTCGTTTGACTGACCAATGTGTGTCCGTGTTTTAACTGACCGAGTTCGTCCGGTTTGTCTGTCCGGGTTCGTCCGAGTTCGGACAGACAAACACGGACGAACTCGGACAGACAAACACGGACGAACTCGGTCAGTCAAACACGGACGAACTCGGTCAGTCAAACACGGACGAACTCGGACAGACAAACACGGACGAACTCGGACAGACAAACACGGACGAACTCGGTCAGTCAAACACGGACGAACTCGGACAGACAAACACGGACGAACTCGGACAGACAAACACGGACGAACTCGGTCAGTCAAACACGGACGAACTCGGACAGACAAACACGGACGAACTCGGTCAGTCAAACACGGACGAACTCGGACAGACAAACACGGACGAACTCACGGACGAACTCGGTCAGTCAAACACGGACGAACTCGGACAGACAAACACGGACGAACTCGGACAGACAAACACGGACGAACTCGGACAGACAAACACGGACGAACTCGGACAGACAAACACGGACGAACTCGGACAGACAAACACGGACGAACTCGATCAGTCAAAACACGGACGAACTCGGTCAGTCAAAACACGGACGAACTCGGTCAGTCAAACGAACGAAATAAAAAAATAAAAGAAAATTAATCCTTTTGCATTTGTAGTCGTATGCAAAAATCAAAAATAGAGAGAAAAATAAAAGAAAATTAGCCATTTTTAAGAATAAGGGAAAAAATTGAGTGCCGCATTCCTTTCATATACAGCCAAAAATTTTAAATCAGGGTTTCGATATCTGCGGATTTTTCCTCATTTTGTGGTTTTTTGACAGGGCGATGAGGATTATTTTTAAAAATGCGGATTTGCGGATTTTTGTGGTCTTTTGAAGGATATGAGGATTTTTTATATTTTCTTGTGGTTTTTAGCATAAAATGTCATTTTTCTGCTAAAATTTTTAATTTTTTATTTTATTAATTAATTTTTTTAATTTATAATTTAATTT